AACCTAGATGTCACGCAGCACAATCATGCACATGTCAAACCTTTGAAACCACTTAACCGGATTCGGCAGCGCTTGAATGAAACAGCGGTAGGTGATACAAAGCGCACTCTCGCTGATCATGAGCCAGGAACTGGACGTCAGCCTGAATCTCTCGTAAATGAGCGGGAGGACGGCGGCAGTCGAGGCGCTCGGTGAAGTTCGGCTGACGTGCGGGATGGTATACAAAGCAGGTGACTAAGGTCCACGGAGCCGGCGGTGTACAGCTCCATCGAGTCCGCTCGAGACGGAGCTGGCGGTGGCCGAGATTGTGTTCCATGACCTGGCGCCGACTCTGCTGGCGTCGGTAATCATCCTTTCGAGTCTGAAACTCCCGAACGGCCCTTCACCGCCGATACAAAGCTCGACGACAAGTTACCGCCCGGACAGCGTCGTCTTCCGTAGTCTACCGTCGACTTGCATCGGCTTCCCGCACACTGCAGGATCCCTGTAAACAAGTACGCAGATCGACTGGCCAAGCTAATCTACGTTGGGACACCGTCCGCTACCACAGCGAAAACGGTGAGCGCATGGAGAGTTCACTCCTCGACTACCAGTCCGACAACCAGACCAGTGGTGGTGCCCTACATTCACGCCCTCTCACATCAAGTCAAGCGCGTGGCCAACAAGTATAAGGTGCCTGTGGTGTTTTCGGCGCCCCGGAAGTTATCTCGACTATGCTCCGCCGTCAACCGAGGGTTGAACAGGGATAACCACTGTGATGTTAACCACCGCGATCCGTTTGTCTCATGCGCAGTAGGGGTTGTATACCAGATCCCCTTCACATGTGGTCGGGTTTACATTGGACAGACAGGGAGGTGTGTGAACGTGAGGGCGAGGGAGCATTCCCTTGCTCTCCGTTCCTCACCCTCTGGCCACCTTGCGGTACATTGTAGTAGGTGCGGCTGCGTTCCCCTGTTCAATGAGTTGACGATCTTGGCGCGCAACAAAAACAAGACTGCCCGGGAGATTGATGAGGCCTTTTATATTTTATCAAGGGGGAAGGAAGAATGCGTCAGTGCTCCGTCGGTTAACTTGGGGGCTGACGAAGTGTTTTTATCAAGAACTGTGGCAGACGTGTGTGAAAGTGATGTGGCGTGTTAGTGTCTTGTTTTATCGGGTTCCCTCCTTTTTATTGGCTTCTGTGTTTTTTTTCCTCTCCACACCCAGTGTTTACTTTCTGGTTCGCTTGAAAATAAACATTCAGTTGTTAGTCAGCGCTGTGTTTGTGCACTTCTTCTACTCGTCCTTCGTCGGTTTTTCCTGCGCTGTTCCCACCTATTAAGATGCTTAACCAACTCGCCCAACTCTCTGCCGTGTTGGACTTCGACAAGCCCGCGCGGCTAGCGTTGCTCGAGAATGACCTCTTCCCAGCTAGGCAGAAATAGCCGTAAACCTGGCCGGTGGCTCGTGGGCGAGACCTCTTCTTCTCGCCGAATCCACACTCACAGAATTTCTCGAACGCACGTGAGTCCCGTCCATATTGTAATTATAAGCATTCCTCTAAAATCAGAAACACATAAATTCGAACAAGGACTAACCCAAACTCCCGTACTCCCAAGGTTAATCACAACCCACCCCCCCTCCAAAAAAAACAACAAACGATTACGACAATTTTTTTTTTTTTTTTGTTGTTGTGCCGCCGAGCTCAACCTGCAAGCAGAGTACGCATGCGATGTCCGACTCAAATTGGGCGGTGCCCTGCGCACCTGCCAGTGTAAAGGTGCTGCAGTTTCATGTCATACTGGATATGCATATTCCGTCTCTGGCAGCACAGAGCAACGCAAACGCAAAGTCGAGGGGGATGACGGTCGTCCACATTCAACGGAAGTCTCGCAGTCGCCAATGCCCGAAGCCCGTCCAACGAACTCAGCACAATTTGTCCGATGAACAAAAGGGAAATTACCGAAAATTTGGCACGAACGTATTCCGGCCGTTTGCTGCTAAAAACAATGCCCTCGGCTGCAACGGGTGAAAGCAGAACACTTAGGATCGTATTTTGGAAACCGGACCTACGTGGCCGCAAATTCGATAGTTGGACGAGTAAAAAAAAAAAAAAAATGAAAGACGTTACCAATTCTTTGTAATGTCGAATTAGAGAGCAGCTCTAGAGGAGGAGAAGAGGGTACAGAGGGGAGGGTTTGCCCCTCCTCCCCCATCCGTACCTTCCCCTCCTCCTCTCCGGCTCCTCTCCCATTTAGCGTGAAAATTCGCTTGTGTTGGCATGTTCAATTTCTTTACTGGAACCTGGACAAAGTTTGGGTACACTCTTCAGTTGTTGTAAAGCAACTAGATACGTTTAACTGTTCATAATATATCAACGGAGGTGGTTGCCAAATCAGAAACAAAAAGTGCGTATTAATTGAGCGGTGCAGCTTAATTGCGCTCGAAAAATTTGTTTCCCTTATTTCCAGCAAATGTGTATCACGGCCCTTTTGCAAATGTATTTATCCACTTTCTACAGAATTTCAATGGAAAATAGTGTATAGATTATATAGATATTAGAAAGAAAATATATTCACTTTTGTATCCACTGTTCATAGTTTTTTAGTCGCTTTTTTGAGCTATGCCTTCTTTCTGATCAATTGTTTTTCGAGGAATGTTTAGGACCTTTGAATATTCTCAAATTCCGAATAGGGTTCTCAGTGTTTGGTATTGGCTCGCCCGCAGTGTGTTTCAGGCTATGCCAATTCGTGTGTTTTATATTAGCCGGAAATCGGGAATTCGTACTCTTCGCTGTGTGCTTTGCACTCTTATTATACTCTTATGATTGGTAATGATAGCGATGTCTTATTTATTTCTTGACTTACTTCCGGAGCCCGAGTCGGCGTGAAAGCGAATGGACCATTCAGCGTCTTCCCTGTGCAAAAAATTGTTGTTAACTTGGTTCAGCGAAAAATCTATTATGAAGTGTACGATATGCCAATCTCCTTCGTAATCATTTTTTTATATATTTTTCTTGTGAAAGATACAGAGCGCCTGAAGTAAATCATGTGTATACAAATGTGGTCCAATAAAATGTTTTCTAATCACTTACTGTTGTTGACCCCAAAATGCTCCAACAGTCAGGAGTCAATGTGGAGGTTGTGTAACTTCAATGTTTTACAGTAGGAAAAACCAACAAACAAGATATACGGATTCGTTTTGTGGAGTGGAAATTTTCTTTTACACATTTTGCACGGATAATATCGTAAAAATTAAAATAAAGCTCCGTCAACATTAAAAAAAAAAATTAAACAGCGGCTCCGGGAGCCGAAGAGCTCCCGAGAGCGTCGCGAAGAGCGACGCAAGAAGGAAAGATGGGGAGAAAGAAAAGGGTGCCGGAGAACCGCAGCAGAAACGCCCAAACCGAAACCGAAACTAACTTGACCGCAACCGGAACTAGATTGTGTTTAATGCCGTCCGCTAGGAGGGCTAGCTGTCACTGGTCTATCTGGGCTCTGGGGCCTAGGCAACGTTACTAAAACACTCAGTTGGAAAACTGCCATAGAGACTGCTCTGAAAATGTGTCCCCGATCTGTCCTCGAGCACCGAGCTAATGGCGAGCACAACACCGCCATTTCTCCCGCAGCGGCCACTCGAGGAAGTGCACGTGACGTCTATTTCGGCTTTAATCGGCCATTTTGGGCCGAAACAGATACAGCGGAAGAGGTTACAGGGGTGCCACGCTGTAACCTCTTCTTTTAACCTGTCTCCCCAGAGGACGCGCCGCATCGTACTCAAGGTATATGTACATGGGTAGCGAAGCTTCCAGAGAAGCCCACATGTCGAAAAAATGGCGGCCCATGGGGCTGTTTTAGCGCTATCTATGAGTCGCGGGGACACTTCCGGCGGAACAAAAAATAGACAGGAAATGACGACACTTCCGGAAAAAACGTGACGTCATGCCTGCGTGCGGTTTGGCGCGAAAATTAAAAATAATTCCAGAGACTACAGGTAAAATGAACGACATAAACACTAAAAAGTCTCAAACATAGCTCCGTGTTTCAGCTTTGTTTGATACTTTTTAGTGTGTATGTCGTTCTTTTTACCTGCAGCCTCGGTTTTTCTTGGGATGTTTACATCTTGTGTTTATAGTCGATCGTTTACGCCCTTCTTTGCCCTTGCTCTTATATTTTGTTCGAAACGTTTTTTTCTGCAGCCGACTTTGTTAGCCGACCTGCTATGAGAATAGTTTCATTTAGTCACACGTGTCTTTGCTCTGTGGTTGAACTCGAGCCGCAGTGTTTTGCCCTTTGTTCCTTCAGGATCCCTCGGAAATATGTGAGAAACCTTAAAGCGAATGACGTAATGTCACAGAAAAAAGAGTGAATCAAATCGCTGGAGTGTGTTGGGCATATGAAATACACAACAGTAACTCTACTGCAAGTGCAACGTTGTATTAACAGTCGCGCTTTATTAGTTTTATTTACTTACAAACATTCAATCAGATCACTCACCAGAATCATACAATCGGTATCCACTATTTTGGAAGTGTCATAGTGCAAGAAAACTAGTAGATCGATACATAAGGCACATTATAATATAATAAGACAATGTACAATCTGTTGGATGTTGTGAGGACATTGACAGTTCATAGGCAGCCACTAATAACTCAGAGGTTTCACGGTGTTCGGAGGACAACTGCAATCCCCACTGTAATACACAGAAAAAAAACAAAAAACTACACTTGTCTACGTGGCTTTGGGGCAAGGTACCATAATGCTGAAAATATTTTAACTTGCATCTGCTAGTGCTGCTACACTGCAACAGAACGATTGTTCGGTGCAGGTCAAGGAAGCCAAGTGGAGTAAACCATCTTGGAGCCCTGCGGTATGCTGCACTTCACAAGCTAGTGTAGCTTCACAGATTTAAGCGCTATATATGTGAATCAGTTAAAAGACTACATTTCTCCTGAAAACCTGAAGAAAATGAAATTACGAATAGAACATGCCTACACTGCTTTAGATATAGCCTGGGTGGTCTCACGTACCTAGCCTGTGCACTTGCGGCCTCGCTTTACACTTTGCTGCTGCTGTATCAAATAGTTCAACTTTTTTTTTTCGCGCGAACCAGTAGGGCCTGACTCTGGCAGTTAGAGAAAACAAATCATCATAAACACTTTCGTTGCATACAGTCAGAGACTTTGGAACCTTCTGGTGAAAAAGGACACCCAGAGTACGCCCTACGCTCTCTTTTGAAATTAGGTTGCTGATACTTGTCTCGAAGACTTCCTCACAAGCTGCAACAAATAATCGGAAAGAAGCAGAAGGGACTGAGAGGTTTCCAAAGTCGGAGTTGGCAGTGCCTTTCACACTTAAATACAAGAGCACTTGATTTCCTTCAGAAAAACACGCATTTTCTGTCCTCAGCTCACATTTCTGAGTTGTTCCCACACAGGAATGAACCTTGAGGAATTTCGATGCCAGCCACCCAGAAAAATAAACCATGTTGTTCTCTTCTATTGCCGAAGGGTAGTTTGAAGGCGAATCGTCTGCCGTGTCAAGAAAAACTGTGCTCCCTAAGGCAAGAGGAGAAGAAGGTGCCAAAAGGCCTGCTGGGAACGTAGCAAGGAGAGACATCATGTCGTCAGCACAGTTTGATTTTTCCGAGAGTTTGAATAGGTTGCTAATCAAAAGGTGCCTGAACGCAGCCTGAAATTGACGGGAAGTGGAGTTCGTGTTTGCACCGGATTTTGAACGTATAACAGCAAAAGTATTTTCAAGGGCGTCTTGGTTCAAATGGCGGGTTAAAAGGCAGGAACAACCGTAATTAACCCTGAGGTGATTGCTGAGCAGCAGCAGTGACCTAACTGTCAAGCAGAAGCCACGAATGCTGTGCGGCTGCCTTCTACACCCGAGTACTTGCAGGCTTTTAAACACCAGAATGCACTCTTCCAGAAACTCCTCATGAATAGAGCCGTTACACATTGCAGAGGCATATGGCGTCTTTGCAAATTTCTGAGAGCTATTTAGGCTGTCAAAGAGACGGTCAATTCTTTCAACAAATCTCGCTGTGTGAACAGCTGTGGCTGGCAATTGCTGAAAAGTAACAAGGGCATACATTGCAGCTGCGCAGTGATTGCTGAAAACTTGAGCTGCTAGCTTCACCGACATCTTTGACGAGAACGTCAAATTAAAATGCTTATCGTTCAGCTTCGGCATAGACCGGATCTCAAGTTTACGGTCCTTTTCATAAGCTTCCTTGATGTAGGAACTTTTCACTTGGTAATCACCAACTTTGAAGTCGTATTTGATCAACATGTTTCTAAGGCACTTCAAAAGGTGCGGAGCATCGAAAAGGAAAAAAAGTGGCTTGGCATTGATCTCTACGTAAGGCTTTTCGGTAGTTACAATGCTTGAAAAAAGAGACACGTTCTGGCTCCCTTGATCGCATACAACAGCTACCGGCTCCAGGCCAGCGTCCACAAGGGCGCTGTAGCACTGGAAGAGGACATCTTTTAGGACATCTGAAGGTGTGCCTTTGTGAGCAAAAAAATAGCCAAGTGGCTGCCTTCCACGGTGTTCCGACTCCTTTTGCCATGAACATGAGAGCCTTGTTTGCCAGCTTTTTGCCTTGCTGTCCACTATGTTCTTCAAGTCCTTCAAACCTGTCAGACGAGGGGTTGTATGAAAGCTCTTTTTTGATGTGCATTTCATCAAACACTATGCTGCAGGCCCGATCGGCTCGAGAAAAAAAAGCTGCCCGCCTCTTTATGAGCTCAAAAATGTCAGAGTAAAATCCAACCCTCAGTGGCACACGCTGAAGCCATAGCTGCAGTGACCTAACTGATGGCAGCCTGAGCAGTCGCCTGCAATTAATACCTATAGCCTTCGGGGCTATGAAAGTAGAGGCCTAAAGCCAAGGCTTTGTTGTTGCTGCACCAACTCCGGCCAAACCGGCTCACATTGCTCATTTTAAGCTGGGCTTCAACGAGTGCAGCGACGGCAGGAGACACATGAGTGCGGACACTCTCAACGACTTCGGCCACAGTCCTCATCTGACGTTGTCGTTACAGCCTTCTTTGGAGCCTCTTGTTGCGCTCTTGAAGCTGTCGCACCTTGGCTCTCATGGCGTTCATCTTCTTCTTGTCGATACTGCGGCTTTTGCCCGGTGCTGCAATTTGACAAATGACCCAAATCAGGTCTCCAAGAAAAACTTGTATTCGCCACCAATTTATTAAATGTGTAATCCATTCACACTAAAGAATACTCCTCAAAGATTTAAAGTGTTTGTAAACAAGAACATCAAGTATGACAGACTACACATATGCAATTCAAGTTAAGGATAGCAGCACATCTTTATGTCGGTCTAGGCGCTTCATGCTGGCCAGAGACCTGATAGTCCAAAAAGACAAGGGCGCACACAGAAGCATGCAAGTCAGAATAAGCATCCAAACTGTGAAATGCATTTTCTCAAAGCTTGACCATACCTTACTTACGCCCATGGCATAAGTAACAGTGAAGCGCTCGCAAAAAAAAAAGGCAACTAAGGTTTGTCAGATAGGACAATGGACCATGACAGGCTCAGCATCACACGCATGTGACCAGGGCAGCTTTTAGATAACTATAAAAACACTGTCTTACGTGAGGTTTTGCGGTAAGACTTATGATTCAGTGAAACCGGTTGAGCTCTTTTGATCCGATAGTGTTAACACCTGCGTGAGGAACATTTTTTGTCTTTTTGCGTGCTTGACGATGACAATACCATGAAACACAAAAATACGGTAAACTTTGAACAAACTTCGATTTGTAGCTGCCGGCAACCCGGTCTTGTGTTATGTGACCCCTTGCGCCATCAGCTGTCAAGATAAAGTTTAGTATCCGCTGGTGTTTTTCGAGCCTTGGCTTTTTTATTTTTGCGGTCTTACCTTTAATAATTTAAGAAAAAAAAACCTGCAAAGAAAAAAGTTCGCATCATAGAAGGAACTCACATTTGTGAGAAGGCCCAGCAGCACAGCCAGAGAGAGAGTTTCTAGACGACGGTGAAGAAACCAAACTCTCCAAGTCAGCCACGTCCCCGCTGGACTCTTGAGCAGGAGCAGCATCTTGAGGTAGAGCGTAGCTGTGATCAACTGCAAACAAAATGAAACAAATAAAGGCTTTTACAAAAACAGTATTGTAAGAAAGCAAGTTCAAGAGAGCGGAAAGTTGAGCGAGTTGGTTGTTCATCTTAGCTGGCAGAAACAGTGCCTCTCTGTGTACTTTTACAGCGCCTGTCTATATACTCCTTGTTCCTTGTCCTTCAGCGCTCTTTTTACCAACTAAGAAAGCAAGCTCACAAAAAAGAATGGGACTAAAAGGATAGCACAAACAATATTCGGCCACCACTTACTATGGGCCCCTAGTGGACTATTCTTCAGTACGGTGCACGAGTATGTGTGGTCCAACGGAGCCGCAGAAATCCGCTCTGCAAATTTAATGTGAATTTAGCGAAGGAGAAGAGGAAGTCCTCCCTTATTCCCCTATTTGAACGCATAAAAAGGAAATTGACCTGCGTTCCATGACAGGTTTATTTCAGAAGACTGGTTGTCAGGGTGACCGCAGAAACTCCACCAGTCTGAGCGGCCGGAGTATGTGCAGCTCGATGAGGGTGGCGAACTGCTCTCTGCAAAATTAGCGTGAAGTTAGTCATGGAATAGTAGTTGAGTTCCTTCCTATGTGTCTATCCTAACACATGACAAGGAAAATTACCTTGTTCCCACGAAAGTTCCACCTCAGAAGACTGGTCGTCAGGGTGACCACAGGAACTCCGCGAGTCTGAGCGCCCCGAGTACATGCAGCTCGATGAGGCTGGCGAACTTCTCTCTGCAAATTTAGCGTGAAGTTAGTCATGAAATAGTAGTTGAGTTCCTTCCTATGTGTCTATTCTAACACACGACAAGAAAAATCACCTTGTTCCCACGAAAGTTCCACCTCAGAAGACTGGTCGTCAGGGTGACCACAGGAACTCCGCGAGTCTGAGCGGCCCGAGTACGTGCAGCTCGATGGGGCTTGCGAAATGCTCTCTGCAAATTTAACGTGAAGTTAGTCATGGAATAGTAGTTGAGTTCCTTCCTATGTGTCTACTCTAACACACGGCAAGAAAAATTACCTTGTTCCCACGAAAGCTCCATTTCGGAAGAATGCATGGTCGTCTGGGTGACCAGAGAAGCTCCGTGACTCTGAACTGCCCAAGTATGTGCAGCTCGATGAGAGTGGCGAACTTAGCTCTGCAAATTTATTTTTAATTCACCTATTTTAATACAAAATGAAAATCACTTTCTTTCATGGGCAGCTTTATTTTGGAAGACCGGGTGGCGGCATGGCAAACGATGCTCTGTGGACCGATATTGACGTTGATTATATCACCTCAAATAAAACATGTCATTATTAACGGGTCTGAAATGAACTTCTAGCAGTACCTCTGACCATGTTCTACCAGCTGTTTCCAGCTAATTTCACCTAGTCTTATTGCAAAATGCTCAGGTCATGAAGACCACGAGGTAATGCAGTAGTGCTGGCAGTTGCTGCCACTTTATGTTAGTTACAGTGAAAAAGCTCACCATGCACAACTGCTGAACCAGGAGAGCTTTTGTTGGAAATGTCCCCACGCGTCGTCTCTGCAAATAATATAAAAGTGTTATGAGCCCACAGAAGCAATATTTCAGCCCCATGTGGCTGAAATATTTTACTATTTTTCTAAGAGCAGGTTAACCATGCTTAGTCACAAAGTTGCGAGTTAGCGCTCTTTCCTGTCTCTCGTTCTTCCCTCCGTCGTCCTTGCGCTATTTTTAATTATGCACGGAAAGTTTATTGGTCTGCTTACCTTTTGTGGAAAGAACACTTGGCAACGCAATGTGACGGAGGTGTACAGGCCGCAAGAAAGCCGACTCCTCGAAATGTAATGAGCAAACTACCCTGTCCCGTAGCTGCCATGGAGTCTTCCCCTGTAGACTTCGGTTGTTGCAAAACCGAACCCAGACTTCGCGCCTGCAGATAAGGCCTGGTGTTATGTGGGTGCCGTGAATACTTAGGAAAAAGAAATGTAGCCAAAATTCCCACAAACCAAAGCAAATCAGAGCAAGGATATTAACAAATGCATGACATCAACGCTCTGTATACATTATGAAGAGTAAAAATGCGAGTCTTATGCACAGATGGCCTACTATATATCTGTGCTGTACCACTGATAACCACGCCTATGATCACGACATTAGGCTCCTCAAAGGCAGGCCGGTAAGGTAAATTTGAATATCGTGGGCACTTTTATAATGACAGCACACAACGCAGTGAAGTCAGGGTGATTTTGAAGTTGAAACATTACTAGTATAACATATTACGGCTTCAGGTGTAGTTTCTTGTGCACATCCAGACAATCCTAATAGTTTTAGGTAAAACTACCTAGAGTTGAGACAAGACCGAACAAGGGGGCATGACATCACACAGCAGGCATGTTACTGACAGAAGCGAAATCTCACCTTCGAGAGTCGAGGGGAAACCGGTGCAGCGAGACGCCAGCCGTGCGGGTGTCGCTTTCACACACTTCTACGGAGCACCGTTTCTTTGCGTATCGCGCTGTGCTCATCGTCGCAAAGGACGTTGAGCCCCTTGGACGCAGTAGCGTCCAAGGTCCAAGCGCACGGCTGCCGAGTTCCCGCGCAAGTAACTTGGCTAATCACGCCCGAGCAAACAAGAAAACTTCCCAAACGGAGTTAGCTGCCGCTAAAACAATTAAAAGCGTAGAGCACGTGGAGGCCCAAACACAAGCAAGCAGACGGGCGTCAGCAGCCTGCCTTTCCGCGCGCCACGAGGTCTACAAAGAACTGCAAATATCGCTATTGCTTGCCGGCCTTTTTGCTAGTGGCGTACAGAGGACGCTAATAAGAAGTACGCATAATATTAGCAAAAACAAAGACAGATTTGAATTTCGTAGCGCGCCAAATATGATTGATAATATCTAATAATTATATTTAACTTGTATAAAAATACAAATGATTGTACTTCTAGTCACAAACTAATAAATTTTAATAATGTTTGTCCCCACCTCCCCTAGTCGCGCTTCAATCGCATCCTTCACGTGACCCTCCAGGCCGATGTCGCTGGCGATTTGTTTTGAACCGCTTTTTGCCCGAAGCTTCGCTACCCATGTGCATATACCTTGTCGTACTACCGAAGCTAAACTGCACCTAGGTCGGGGACGCGCTACCTGAAAGCACCGCTGAGGCATGGTTGTATAAAAACAATATTAATTGTGCCGCAAAGCCTTGCAAACTAAAGATTTT